CACAGACACACACACACACACACACAGACACAGACACACACACACACAGACAGACACACACACACACAGACACAGACACACACACACACACACACACACAGACACTATTGCAGTCTCTTCTCAACCCCTACTCAAATGCCAATCTCTCCTAGAAGTCGCATCATCGGGAAGGTACCAGTAAGCAGCTTCCCTGTACAACAGCACCTGGGGAACGTGCCCAAATGCCGCGTTGGTGTCTTACCTTGAGGGTTGCTTTCTCCGCAGAGGGCGCCGAGGAAGCAGACACTGGGACAGGGCTCCCACTCGGGTGGCCCAGCAGGGCCTGTGCGCCGCGAGGGCCGGAGCCCCCGGGGGAATGGCTTGTCCAGAATGCCCTGTGCCCTCTCCCCAGCGCCCCGCAGCCAGCCTCACACCACCGTGCTTTTCTTCCCCAGGGGAGCGGGATTTCCAAAATGAAGGTCGGGTCCCCGGGCCCAGGGGCCCCCTGGCGCGCTTTGCTGCATCACCACCAAGCGGAGGGCGGGCTGGGCACCGAGCGTGGCCTCGGGCGTGGCCTGCGTGCTGGGGTCCTTGCCTCGGCAGTCGTACAGCGCGCAGGAGACGAGGAACACCAGGAGCAAGATGACGTAGCTCACCACCAGGATGATCAGGTTCAGCGTGACGGGGTCCACCTCCAAGTAAAACGCCATGGCGTCTCTTGTGGTTGGGAAGCGGGGTTAGAGAAAGGCCGCAGGGCCAGTCTCTTTGCAGGAAACGAACCCTAGTTCATTGGAATAGCTACGTTGGCTCTGGGGTAAAAATACATTAATCCCCCGGGCTCCGGGAGACCTCCCAGATAAAAGCTGCTCGGTTTAATAACTTAAGCTCTTGCTGTTAATACGATGGCCGAGGAGACACAGATGCTGTCTCTCACCAGTTCAGCTGTGCCGAGAAAGAGAGAGGAAAAGAGGGGATCCAAGGGTTACCAGAGCCTGGTGTCCATACAGTCCCCCCTCCAAGCGGGCAGTGTGGTGGGCAAGGGTGAGTGCTGTTAATAAGCACGTTATTAAAAGGTTGGAAACACTGTGAAGTGTGCTCACCTTTTATACGAGGGAGGTTTAAATGCCACCTTTTATCTATACATGGACTGACTGGGCAATCAGGACCATGGGCTTTGGGGGAAAAAATGAGTTTAATAGGAGGAGCACACCTAGGCTCTGGCGTTTTCACTCATTCATTATTTGTTGGTTTTTAAAATTCATTAATTCAGCACTACCTGGTTTGGCTCAGTGGATAGAGCGTTGGCCTGTAGACTGGAGGGTCCTGGGTTTGATTCCGGTCAAGGGCACCTTGGTTGCAGGCTCCATCCTCTGCTTGGGTCAGGGCATTTACGAGAGGCAACCAATCGATGTGTTTCTCTCACACTGATGTTTCTTTGTCTCTCCTCCACCCCTCCCTTTATTTTTAAAAATTAATGGGAAAATATCCTTGGGTGAGAATGAACACAACAACAAAATATTTAAATTCATTAATTCAAAATACTTTTTTTTGAGCTCTTCCTATGTTCCAGGCACCTTGCTAAGTGATAATAAGAGAAGCATTTAGTCCACACAATTCAACACAGAATGGAAGATAGACATTAGACAAATAATCACACCGTTTAAGAACAGTGGGCATTCATGTATAAAAGACAAGGAGAGGGGAACAGGACAGGATGGCCCAAGGCAGGTCAGAGAAAGCTTCCACGAGGAAGAGACGTGTAACCTCTGACCTGAAGGACAGGCGAAGGTAGCAGGTGAGGACAGCAGGGAAGAGCCTTCTAGCCACAGGAGCAGCATTTGTGAACCATCCGAGAAGAAAGAAGCCTGGAGAATTGGGGGAACTGAGGCGAGGGCAGGTGACAGGAGTATAAAGAATGAGGAGCCTGAGGGGAGAGAGGTAGGCAGGGTCAGATCGCAAAGGAGCTGGTGGGTCCTATCAAGGACTTGGCTCTTGATCCTGGAGCAATGGGAGGCCATTGCATCATGTGATGCAGGGGAGTGATGCGATCAGATTTGCATTTTATTCATTTATTTATTTTTTAAATCTTAGCCGAGCTTGTTTTTAAAAAATATGTTCTGATTGATTTTTAGAGAAAGAGGAAGGGAGAGGGATAGAAGTAGAAACAACGATGAGAGAAACATCATGGATTGGCTGCCTCCTGCATGCCCTCTACTGGGGATTGAGCCCACAACCTGGGCATGTGCCCTGATGGGGAATCAAACCCTGACCTTTTGGTTCATGGGTGGACACTCAACCTCTGAGCCACACCTGAGGGTGGATTTGCATTTCAAAGAGATCGCCTTGGCCACTGTGTAAAGGCAGGAAAATAAGCTGATAGAAGATAAAAACACAGATGTTCCTTGATTTATAAATTATCATCCCTGCTCAGTTGTAGTCCCGGCCCAATAGTCCTGGATGCAGCCAAGGTCAGGGCAGGACTCTGTGCTCAAACGGGCCCCACACTTGGGTGAATGCTGTCACCATCCTGAAATTTTTCAGAATTTTTTATTTTGCACTGGCCTCACAAATCACGTATCTGGCCTTGGTCTCATCTATGTATTCTTGGCCAGATAGGGCTGTTTCTCCAAGAGCTAATGGGACTCTTTTGATTAAAGGCCAGCACTCCCAGACGTCTGCCAGTTTCTTATCCTCATTAAGCTGAGCAGCGTAAGGCCAGCTTCCTTGGGAGCCTCGTGTGCGGGGATGCTGTAGAAAGGAGGTCTTATTGATCTGGAGGCCCTTTTCAAATAATACATTCCATGATTCTGTGGTTCCGGACTGACCTGTGGAATTACACTCAAGAAGATGAATGGTTCCCAAACACCGCAGGATGAGGGCCAACCTCATTGGAATCCATTGGACTTCTTAGGAAGACAGATTCCCAAATCAACCCAAGATCTATTGAAGTAGAATTTGGGGGCCTGGGGTCTGGGAAGCTGCATTGGATCATTCTGATACGCAGCCAGGATGGAGAACCATGGCTGTAGAAGTGGGTAAGAAGGATGTGTCAGAAAATGGGCCACCAGAGCCTTGGTTGGCTGCCAAGAGATGTCCTGGAAGGCGTTCAACACAGAATTCAACACGGAATTCAACTCGGTCTGCGTTCTGAGTCCAGTGGTTCATTGTTTCACTTTGTCAAGATAATCCTTTTCCTGGTGGCAATTCACATTTACCAAACTCCTAGGAGACTGAGGTTTAGCACAGAATGCCAGTGCATTAAGTTACAGTGAAAAATACAGCCATCACAGGTCAGGAGGGCCCGGACTGGAATGATCACAGCCTTTTCTCCCTGGAGGCAGATCTGTCCAGTCTGTGTATAACCAGCCGGCTTCTTGGTGAACATGGGATCTCGGCGAGTGGACTTGTCGGGTGCTTTTCGCACAGAGCTCCCTCTT